CCAGTTTGGCGTGGGCCGCAAAAGCGGCATCGAGCTGATGCACCACGTCGTGGCGACCGCGCTGGAGCAGGACTCCGGCGCCGCGGTGCTCTCCTTGGACGTGGCCAACGCGTTCAACGAGCTCTGCCGGGACACTCTGCTGCGGGAGGTCGCTGGCCGCTTGCCGGAGCTCTCGCGGCTGGCGCAGGCGTGGTGCGGCAGGGCCACCACGCACGGGGCCTGCCTTCCTGGGGCCAGGGCGGCGCCGGTCAAGGCGGAGCGCGGGGTGGACCAGGGTTGCCCCCTCTCCCCGGCGTTCTTCGCGCTGGCGGCGGCGACTCTCTACGAGGACCTGGAGGCGGCGGCGCGCCGCCAAGACCCCGGCGCCAGGGTGGTGGCCTACCTCGACGACGTGTACGTCGTGGGCAGCCCGCGCGCACTGGCCGCCGCGCTCCTCGCGGCGCCAGCGCTCCTGGCGGCGCGCGGCCTCCGCCTGAGCGCGCGGAAGACCAAGGTGTGGACCTCGCGTGCGTGGGAAGCACGCTGCCCTACGTACGCAGCGCGGCGGGGGCAGGCCCGGGCGCCGACCCCGCGAGGGCGAGCTTCTCGCCGACGGCCGCCCCGCAGGCGGCCCGAGACCACCTCGACGCCTACCTCGCGGCCCTCCGCCGGCTCCGAGGGCACGGGCTGCGCGCCCAGGACGAGCTCGTCCTGCTCCGCACCTTCGCCAACGGCGCGGCCTTGCACCACGCGCGAGCGCACCTCCTGGACGAGGCATGGTGCCAGGCGTACGACGCGGCGGTTCTCGGCCACGTGCACGAGATCCTGCGGCCGCTCACTGGGCACCAGACTCTGCCAGACGACGCGCGCGACCTGGCCCTCCTGCCCTGCGCTGGCGGCGGGCTCGGGCTGCAGGGCCTCGCGCACCGCCGCTTGCCCGCCTTCGTGGGGGCTTGGCAGGCGTGCCTGGCGGGCGTCTGCAGTGAGCTCGGACTCTCCAGCCTCGAGGCTTTCCAGCTCGCCTGCCCGGCTGCGTGGGGGGCGGCCGAGGGGGCGGGCCGCGCTCTCCAGGTGCGCGGCGCGACCTGGCTGTGCGCCGCCGCGGAGCCACAGGCGAAAGCACAGCGCGCCCTCGCGGCGCCGGAGCAGCACGCGCGCCGGCAGCGGCTCCTGGGCTCCTTTCCACCAGACCGGGCAGCGCAGCTACGCTCGGCCAGCGGGAAGGGAGCGGGGAGCTGGCTCCAGCCGCCAGCTGCGGAGGACCACGTGCTGGCGGACGCGCACTTCCTCCCAGCCCTCGCGCTGCGCCTCCAGCTGCCGCTGCCAGCGACCGCCACCGCCACCTGCTGCCGGTGCAGGGAGGACGGCACGCGCTGCGGGGCCGACCTGACCGTGGGGCACTGTCTGGGTTGCCACGTCGGCGGCGGCACGATCCAGCGCCACGACGGCGTCCGGGATTGGCTCGCCCGCTGGCTCGGCGCCCGCGGCGCGACAGGCGTGGCCACGGAGCAATTCGTGCCCGCTTGGGACCGCGCGCGCCCTGACGGCACCGTGGAGGCCGCTCGCCTCGACGTGGCCTTCACAGACCCCACGGTCGGCGTTGCCTACGTCGACGTGGTGGTTACTGACGCCTCTCTCGGCGCGAACACGCCGGCGGGCCGGGGCCGCGCCGCCCGGGACGGCGCCGCTGCCGCTGCCTGGGAGGAGCGCAAGCACGCGCGCTACCCGGGCCCAGCGCTGACGGCTTTCGCGCTGGAGGCCCTCGGGCGCGCTGGGAAGGAGGCGCAGGCGCTCTTGCGCACCTGGGCGCGCGGAGACGCGGAGGCGCTCGCGGCGGCGCGCCAGAGCCTCGCGGCGACCCTTCAGCGGGGCAACGCCGAGGCGCTCCGCTCCGCTTGCTTCGCTGCACGCGGGGCGGTGCGCCGCGGGGCTGGCGGCGGCGAGCCGGCGGCGCGCCGCCCGCGCGCTAGCTAGGCGTGCGCCCGCCGGCCTGCGGCGCCGGCGCGGAGCACGGCGAGGACCCGCTAGGCGGGCCAGGCGGCGGCGGCGCGGGCGGCGCGGGCGGCGCTGGCGCCGGCGGCCGCCGGGGACGCTGCGCGGGGCGGCGACGCTGCCGGCGGAGGAGGGCGCCGGGCGCTTGCGGGAGCTGGCCGGGCTGCTGCGGCGGGGGGCCGGGCGGCGGCGCCGGCGCTGGGCGGCGGCGACTGACTGCGCGCAGGCAGGCGCCGAACTGCCGCCCGAGCTGGAGGAGCAGGGCGGCTATCCGGCCGGGGGCCAAGCCTCCCAGACCTTCTGGGCGGTCTGGCACCCGGCCGGGAGGTGTCGAGGCGGTGCCCAACCTCTCCGCCGCGTTCGCGGCCACGCACAGTGGGGGCGGGGCGGGCGGCGGCCTGCGGGAAAGGGCCCGCGCCGCGCGCCGAGCGCCCCGGAGATCCCCCCGGACTCGGGGTCTCCGGGGCCCCGCTGCCAGGAGGAGGAGGAGGAGCAGGAGGAGGAGGAGGAGGAGGAAAAGGAGGAGGACGAGGAGGAGGAGGAGGAGAAGCAGAAGGAGGAAGGGGGGCGGGGGCGACGAGAGGCGGAGGAGGAGGAGGAGGAGGAGGAGGAGGAGGGAGGAGGAGGAGGAGGAGGAGGAGGAGGAGGAGGAGGAGGGGGGGGAGGAGGAGGGGGAGGAGGACGAGATTGAGGAGGAGGGCCGGCACCGCACCGGGGCGGGGACGCTACGTTCAGGCAGAAGCTGCACGGGGCTTGGGCAAGGCCACGCGCCCAATGACTCCTGCGACGCGCGCGCAGCGAGAGCGCCACTCCAGGGCGCCATCCGCGCGCCGCCGGCTGGAGCGAAAATCACGTTGCGCCAGCGCGTGCGCGACCGCCCCGTCCCTGTCCTGCCACGCATGTTGCAACGTGGACGGCAGAATGTCCATGCTGAAAGCAAGTGTGCCGATGTTGCATTTCTTGTAAGACAATCTGGAACCACCCTTATGCGGTTGCAATCGGCTGGCGAGGTGGCGGAGTGGGCGTATATACTACGCACCCTGGTAAAATAATAAGGATTCATGAACACGTAGGGGCCATGATATTATGTTGCGCAGGCGGCGGAGGTGGAGGACGAACGAGGTACACGAGGAGAAGACGGACGACGAGGGACAGCATGAGCTGCAGGAGCAGGGAGCAGGAGGAGATGCAAGAGAAGCAGGAGGGTCAGAGGAAAAGGGGGGAGGGGGGAGGGGGGGGTCCAGCGAATCGGAACTGAAAGAGGAGCATAATGAGAAGTAGCAACGGCAGCTGAAGGAGGAACAGAAGGAGGAATAGAAGGAGGAGCGAAATTAGGTGGCATCCCCGTGGAATCGTAACGACCCCAAGCCAACCACGAACCGATCCCACCTCCACCTCCTCCTCCGCCTCCTCCAACTCCCGCCCTCGACATCCTCCTCCCCCTCCCTCCCCGTAAAAAGGCCCGGGGGGCACCCAAGTGGGTCCCCACCCCCGCCCTCCTCCCGCCCACCTCCACCCCTCCTCCCGCCCTCCTCCGCCTCCTCCTCCCCGCCCTCCTCCGCCTCCTCCTCCTCCTCCTCCTCCTCCTCCTCCTCCTCCTCCTCCTCCTCCTCCTTCTCCTCGCGGAGCATGAGGCGGAGGGAGCAACCGCAGCGGGACGCGACACCCCGCCGGGGGGAGGCGCGCACGCGGGCGCGGGCGCGCCAACAGGCGCTGTAGTACCCGGCCTCCTGGCCCGGGAGCCCGCGCCAGCTGGCGGACTTGTCCCCGAAGCTCTCCGTGGGGGCCCCTCGGGGGAGGGGGCAAGAACAGCCAGCAACGACGCCGCGGTCGACGATCCACAGGACGTGTGTGAGCGCTAGCGTGTGCTGGTCCACCGAGGCCCTCCAACACGACGCAGGCGGCGCCACGAGGGCCGACACAGGCTGCGCGCTGTCGGTGGAGCCGAGCGGGTGAACCCACGCTTGGGCTACGACGCCCGCCCTTTCGCATCATCGAAGCGGGGTGCACGACAACGCCAGGCGAGTGCCCGGATGCATCGCATCGCCAGAATGCCGATGTCGAGTCGAACCGACTTCGCCGGAACCGATGTCGAATCGGATCGAGATGGACCTCAGGGTGGCCCGCCGTGGCCGTCGCCGCCGCGGGCCGTCCTCAATGCGACCTGCCCCCGGACACACCTCTGCGGGTGCCCTTCGTTGGAGTTCCGCCACCGCCGCCGCTGCTGCCCCGCCGCCGCCGTCCTCCGCCTCCTCCTCCTCCTCCTCTCCTCCTCCTCCTCCCTCCTTCCTCCTCCTCCTCCTCCTCTTTCCCCCCCCTCCTCCTCCTCCTCCGCCTCCTCCTCCGCCTCCTCCTCCTCCTCCTCATCCTCCTCCTGCGCACGCACTTGGCGCTCATGAGGTCCCCACGAGAGCCCTCCACAGCAAGGCCACGGGAGAGCACCCCTCAAGACGACCTTTTGGTCACCTCCGACTGGGGGCGACGTCCAGTCGGAGGGCCAGCGACTGGGTGCTCTCTCCGTGGACGGCCTGGGTCCACACCCAGGCCGCTTCTCTCGAAATCGCCAGGGCGCCAGGGCTCAGTGAGAGAGATCCACTCTCTGCCCTGCTTGTATCTGCCCTCGGCCAGGCCTCGCAAAACGCGGCGGGCCCAGACGGAGTGGGCGGGCGGACATGGCTGCCTCAACAGCTTGGAGATAGTGACCCCGCCCGCCCCACACAGGGCACAGACCAACCCCCGCCTTCCCCCCGCGAGAGTGGAGGGAAAGGCAAGGTGGGTGGCATGACCCTCTCTCCGCAAAGCCGCGATCGCAACATCAGCCCGACGTTCAGCCGTCGAGACCACGGGGGGAGGAGGAATTACTTGCAACGGTGGCACGACCCCGCGCACCTTCTTGACACGCTTGGGGGTAGGGGCGTGCTCACAGTCCAGGTCGGCCATCGGCGACGCACACAGACCGACCCATTTTGTGAGCGTGGACACAACTTCACACTGACTCTTGCACCGCGCGAGATACTGCTCAGACGCTCTGCGGAACTCGGCGGCCTGCTTGGCATACACATCAGCCAAGTGATTGCCAACATGAACGCGTGCGGAAACGACGCCCGCAAGTACATCAGACCTGCCAGTGTGTATTTTGACACTACGAAGGCTGAGCCACAGAAGCGAGGGCCTGTCTCCCAAACGCCCTGGAAGACAAAACTGGTGTCAGTCCAAAAGGTCGCCCCAAGCATGGCCTGCTTGAGGCCCATCCGCAGGGCCCAATGCTCACCCGCACCGATATCGAAGTGACTTGCTGGGAGCTCTCCTGCAACCACCGCGCGCTTCGCTCGCTCAAGAAACAGTGTCGGATCATCGTGCAGCGCTACGATGGCCCAGCCGAGCGAGCGAGCAGTGGGCGGAAACTCAGAGTCGAACGGACTCCCGTCGAGACAAAAGTCACCTCCGAGCTCCTCAGGGGCCCCGACAAGCCACAGTTCCTCAGGAGGAGGGGGCGAGGCGGGGGAGGAGCAGGCAGCGGCACGAGCAGCCTCTCGAGCACGAGACGACCACGCGGATTACTTGCTGCTTGCACCATGGCCTATGTGCACGCCGGCGGCTCCTGCTCTAACCCAAGGAGCTCCGGATGTCCTACACAGCTGAGGTGCCTGTGCAGAAGGGTCCCTGGGGCAGCCTGGCACACACGGCAGACCTGCTCCTGCGACAATCCCTGCTGGAACTGCCTGTCCTGAGGCCACCGCCCCCCCGCAACAACACTGATGGCGTACCCACGCTCATGTTTTTTTTAACTTAGACACGCCAGGCTTACTAGGCGCAAGATAGAGGCCTTGCTGGAAATCGGGCATCTGGAGGTGATTCGCCGCTTTTCCCCAGAGCCAACTTTCGACAACGGGTGCCCAGAGCTTTCTTGACACTTCGCGGGCGCAAGTGTTCAACCGAGAAGGCGCCCACGCTGGAAAGCTGCCACGTGATACCGTCCATGCGAATGCCGAGACGGAGCGCCGCTGCCACGGCGGCAGTAAACGGGCCGCGGACGCATTGCCCAGGTGAGCAGTGCTCTTGGAGTTCTTGCCACGCTCCTGCGAGACCTTGCTCGACTACATCCCTCGGCGCCCACCCGTCCCAGAGAGAAGGGGCGATAGCGAGGAGCGGAGAGACATGATAATCGTACGCAGGATCTAAACGCGCGACTCCAGCCAACTGCAGCATGAGACGGATGGAGGTACCTGACAGACGTTGACTCTGAACATACGCCGAACATACGCCTGCTGAAACCGAGTTTTCTTGAGCTCGCGTCCGTTGGTGCCCGTCACCCCCCGACCCATGGGAGGTGGCGGCCTGCACGGCAGCAGGGACCATGTGATGCACCTGAGTCTTACGCAACTTCCCAGCCAGCGTGATAATATATTCGTGTCGGACCTTAGCAGCAACACGCCTGTCCTTCCTAATGCGGCGCTTGACCACACCGCCTGCTGCGTAATCTATGTCGAGAGTGCGCTCTGACTGTGCACCGAGAACCCCCTTGGCACGGAGCGCGGCGGCCAACTGCCCGCGCAGCAGGGGGCAGGACGCAAGTACCCGTGACTTGGGCTTGCTGGCTGGCAGGTGAATTGCATCGAGCTCGTCATGCATCATGCGCGTGGCCTTACACAAAATGTCAGGCACCTGCTCGGAGGAACCGTCCCTGTGCAACCCCGTATCGTCAACGACCACCCCAATCTGAACCTCACGAGCGGCGCGGAGGGGAAGCACAGCCTGGACCCGTGCCCACCAGAGCAGGCAGCAAGGACTGCAGGCAGCACGACGGTCACCGAGGACAACCCTTTGGAGCCACCACGGCCCCCCAAATAGCCGCCGAATTCCGAAGGAGTTGCGCGACAATTTTTTCTTGTTTGAAAGCATGCAGTGCTGGGCGCGTAGGCCATCCTGTAATGCCTCCTGACGAGCATCCATGTTGAACCAAGCATTACCGCGGCCGTCGCCATCATCACCGCCAAAACCACAAGATAACAAATGTTACAATCATCGTCGGGCTGAGGTCAGGTCAGTCTGCGTCGCCGCGCATCGACTCTTTACCGAAGCTGAGCGCCGCGAGCTCCCAGCAGCATTCGTCGACAGCTGTCAAAAGCAAAACCGCCGAAATGGTCCTTGAAAAGGCCGCAAGGAGGGCCACCGAAAGGGCCGCCGAAATCGTCGCCGAAATCGCCGCCGAAATTGCCGCCGAAATTGCCGCCGAAATCGCCGCCGAAACTGCCGCCGAAATTGCCGCCGAACTTGCCCTTTGAAATTGCCGCCGAAATTGCCGCCGAAATAATTGCGAACTCCGCCAAAATAGCCGCCGGAATTCAGCCGCCGAAATCGCCGCCGAAATTCAGCCGCCGAAATTTTCATTGCCCCGTCGCAAGCGAAATCGCTGTTCCAGTAAGCGCGATGACGCCGCAGACACAGGCATAGAGTCACAGCCAAGGTCAAATTCGGTCTTTTCTCGGCGGAACCATCTGCAATTTCGGCGGCAATTTTGGCGGCAATTTCGGCGGCAATTCTGGCGGCCCTTCCGACGGCTCTTTCGGCGGCTCCTTCGGCGGCAATCTCGGCGGCCCTTTCGACGGCTCTTTCGGCGACCATTTCGGCGACGTTGCTTTTGCCAACTGTCGACAATGGCTGCCGGAAGCTCGCGGCGCTCGGCGACCCCGGCGGGCCCTGAGAGGGCCCTCGAAGGGCCTCGCCAGAAAGCGTTTGCGAAGTAGCTCAAGCCATGCGTGATTCGCACGCGATAGCATGCGCAACGTGCAATGTGAATGCCTCGCATTATACGTCAGCACGCTCTACGGTGCGTCCGGGAACCACCGCGCGGCAGGGCGCGCCTGCACACTGAAACTCTAAGAAAAACCTCAATTTCGTCTGGAATGGATTTCGGCGCGCGCCCCTTTTCGTCTCCAAAGAAAGAGCCACTATGACGACGGTGGCGAGATGACAGCCTGGCAGCACGGCTTCCTCGGTGAGGGTGGGGGCCGACGTGGCCCCAGCATGGTCCAGGACCCGCGGAGCCCTGTAAAGGCCCAGCAAGAGACGCAATTGCCTGAGAGGAAATCCCGTGGACCGAGCTGCGTTCAGCAGCTCGCCGTGCCTGGCGCTCTTGAGAGCTTTGTGCAAATCTAAAAAAAACGGTGCCCGCAAAAAGGTCACGCCCCTAGGCACACTCGGCGAAGGCAGCTCGAACCCAGACGAGCCGATCTGAGCCCCTCCCCCGAGTCGACCACCAGAACTCGCGAAAGTAATCCTGCTGCCGACGCCGAACGAGGGAACGACGCAGACAACCCTGCACCCTGGAGGTGATGTGCATGAGGGCTATCGGTCGCAGCCCCCCCTGTGCGCTTCAAGATAAAGACTACCTTGGACCACAACTGTGGCCAAACAGAACTACTCTCGATGGTGAGGATAAGCTGCCTGAAACACTCGAGACCCACATCGGGGAGCTCCAGCACCTGCCTCGGGGAGATCAGATCATACCCCGCTCCACTGCACCCCTGAAACTGCTCCTCATCCTCCTCCTCCTCCTCCTCCTCCTCCTCCTCCCTCCTCCTCCTCCTCCTCTGTCGTCTCGTGTCGTCGCAGGAGGAGGATGAGGGGCAACGTTCGGGGGGGGACTTGCTCAGGGGGGTTGCTGAAATCGGCGGTACATCGCCGATGGATCGGCGGTAAGCCCCCGATAGCGAAGCCACACCATCCTGGGCGGGGTGGGCAATCAGGCCCCTATCGGTGATGAACGGTCTATGGGGGGGTCGATGCGTCCCCATTGAAGCTCATCCCCCCCAGCACTGTCCGTGAAGCTATCCCTGCTCGCAAGGAGCCCTGGGCGGAACGTCCCGGGTCACACGGGCGCCCCGTTTTTCTACTTCACAATCGTGATGCGTTCACTTTTCCGTTTCTCTTTTCGTAATTCTAAGAGAACTGCCAATAACGCGCTCTTCTGCCCACGCGTCCTTCCGGGTGCTTGGCTCTGTTGGCCAGCTGCTGCCTGGCTGGATCATGCTGGGCTCTTACTACTTCTGGCACGCGCTGACATGGATTCGGGATCCGTGGATCCTCGAGCCTCGACGCTGGCGCGCTCGGCGCTGCCTCCGACTTCCCAGGTCTGCCTGGCCTCTCGATAGCGTGTCGGGGGTCTGGGGCCGCTGCGGCTGGAAAGGCGCCCGGCCTGAGAGCGGATCTGGCTGGTCACCACCTGCAGTGCAACCGGATCATAAGGATGCGCGGTCAAGATGCAAGGCCCCTGGACGCCAAAACTGAAGCCAGAGTTGAAGCCCGTGGCCCATGGCTGGGATGGGCCGAGGGTCAGGGATGCAAGGGGCACCCCTGGATCGTTACTCGTCATCGTGATGCGGTTGGACTTCTGCAAAGACACGCAAGCATGGAGGAGGACGCGGCTCCGTCAAATTCTGGCGAGAGGAGACCGAGGATATTGAGGATGGCCCCCTCCTCTTCCTGTGTGCTCATCCCCTTCCTCCTCCTCCTCTTCCTCCTTCTCCTCCTCCTCCTCCTTCTCCTCCTCCACGGTACTTGGTGCATGGAATGCGCGGCGCGGGCTTCAAGGAGAACGGATGCGTGGGCAGCCAGTGCCAATTGCGTTAGGCTGAGCGAGTCAACCAGTATGTATAGATCGGTTACGGCTTCGCTCGCGCTCTCTTCCATGATGGTCGCCTCAGAGAGATCCTCCTCCCTCATCCTCCCTCCTCCTCCTTCCGCCGCCCTCCTCGTTCTCCTCCTTCTCCTCCTCCTCCTCCTCCTCCTCCTCCTCCTCCTCCTGCTCCTCTAACTCCCTCCTTCTTCCCCCCTCTTCCTTCTGCTCATCATCCCCCCATCCTCCACCCCCTCATCCACCTTCCCTCCTTCCCTCTTCTCCTCCTCCACACCCTCCCTCCTCCGCCTCCTCCTCCTCTCCTCCTCCTCCTCCTCCTCCTCCTTCCCCCTCCTCCCACCCCCTCCTCCTCACCCCTTTCCCCTCCTCTCCCTCCTCCCGCCGACGGCCTCATCACCGACTAATCACCCCCCCCTCCTCCGTCCACGCGCCTCTTCCTGCTGCTCCCCCTCCCCCCCGTGAGCGGGGGCCTGGCCACACCGACGCGATGCCGCCGCCGTAGCACTCCCTGCCGCGGAGCAGCGTCAGCCGCCCGCCTCCGGCGCCGCCAGGGCCGCCGCCGCCGCCGGCCTTCGCCGCCGCCGTCGGCGATGTTATGATGGGACTGGAAGGAGGGCCCAGAACCGAATCGATCCGTCGGATCGGCGATCGGAATGAGTGGGATCGGCGGAAATCGGTAGCCGAGTCGGGAGGAATCGAGTTGGCGGGAATCGGCAGGCCAGTATGCCTCCACTGAGGAATCGGGATCCAAATCGGAATCCCAGTCGAATCGAATCGGAAGTGGAAGCCATCGAAATCGAATCGAATCGACTCGGAGGAATCGAAATGAGCCCTGGACTGGCTCAGGATGCGGTGCAGAATTTCCAAAAGTACCAGGGCCCCAGAAGCTGCGGAGAAGCGCGAAGGGGGGTGGGGCGGGGTCGTCGGCAGGCTGCGAGGCTATCTGAAGAAGCGCGCCGCAGGCGCCGATCTTTTGCGCATTACACAACGAACCCGCCGCAGACGCCTATCGTCTTCGCCAAGGCAACGAGGGTGGGTCGCGGGTGGGACGAAAACGATGTCATCCCAGAGATCCGACGCTCCCAAGAAATTGAAGCGGGCGGGTTTTGGCTAAGTTCGGCCTCCGGGGGCCTTCGCCGGGCCTCGGGAGCATCAAAAAACAATTCAGGGCGAAGAACCGGGTGGTCCAGACCTCCGGGGAGCAGCCGGATGTCTGGGATGACAGGATGGGAACGGGATGCGCCCCACGACTTCCGAGAAGCACCTCGCGGCCGACGCTTCTGGAGAGCGTGCGGGACCACCGAACTTGTGGGAAGCCATGGAAACACGGGCACGCATCATCCACCCTGAAAGATATTGACAAACCACCCCCAATAGGGGGCAACTAATGATTCGCTCGGCGGCCTTATTGGGAGACTGGGGGTAGGGGGTAACTAATTGTTCACCCGCCGCGCAACAACGACCTCTCCTCCTCCTCCTCCCCCTCCCCCTCCTCCTCCTCCTCCTCCTCCTCCTCCTCCTCCTCCTCCTCCTTAGGAGTGACACGAGGAGGAGGAGGAGGAGGAGGAGAAGGAGGAGGAGGAGGAGGAGGGGGAGGAATAGTTTTTATGACCAGTCCTATTCACCGCCGAGAGGAACGGGGGGGGGACCAGAACTAGAGACCATTAGCGGTTATCATGAACGCTTGCTCCCCTGATTCTCGTCGCGGTCGTCGTCGCCTGTGGCAGTCGCGGTCGTCGTTGCATGTCGCCATCGCGGACAGGGAAGCAGCGGGGGCACTGGCACCAGCAGGGCGAGGAGGATCTACGGGGGGAGGGGACAGAGGGATTCGGCGTGGATGAAGGGCAACGGTAGGGGGGGAACTGGCTCAGGGGAGCCAACATCGACCTACAATCGGCGACGCATCTCCGACAGGTCGCCGATTTTGCCCCCGGCAGCGAATCGGAGCGTTCCTGTGCGGGGTGGGCCAGCCGGCCCTCAGTGGGCGACTGGGGGTCGATGCGCTTCCCCCTGGGCCTACCCCCCCCAAAACGTTGCTCCCTGAGGGTGGGCTTCAGAATATCCGCGATGCCGTGGCGGGAGCCATCTTTTTCAAGCGGCCCGCCCGCCATCCGTGAAGCTCTTTTTTACAGTCTTGGGAAGCGAGTGTGCGCGGCGCGCGTGTCGCTCGGACGCGCGTGTGGGCTGCCTCCGTCGCGCTGCGACGGAACAGAGTCGCGGGGCTCGGGCGAGAGCCACATCTCGAGAACAGCGCGCCCTCCATGTGTGAAGCCCTTGCAAAGTTTGGGGGCAAGCAAACCGACCTCGCTTTCGACCACCCTCGCTTCCAAGAGGTACCAAGCGATGCCAAACTGCGGCCCGTACTGGTCAGAACGCTTGACGAGGCGGCGCGTAGTATGACTTGGTTTTGCCTGGAAGCGAAAGCGGGGTAGGTAATCCACGCTCTGAGAAGTTGTAAGAAGAGCGCGCGCGGCGCTGAGGCGAGAGCCACACGTTGAAAACGATCCGGCCTCCATCCGTGAAGCTGCTGCAAATTCTTAAGACGGATGTGCGCGGCACTATGGCGAAAACCACATTTTGAAAGCGACCCGCCCTCCATCCGTCATGCTGTTGCAGGCTTTGAGTTTCAGGATCATAAGCGGTGCGGATGTTTCGCCCGAAACGCCATGCCCGCCCCTCCGACCAGCCTCGGGGTGCGACAGGGAGACTTTTGTTCATCAATAGGGACAGGGAGTGGAAGAAGAGGGGCAGGAGGAGGAAGAGGAGGAGGAGGAGGAGAAGGAGGAGGAGGAGGAGGAAGAGGAGGAGGAACAGGAGGAGGAGGAGGAGGAGGAGGAATAAGAAAAGGAGGAGGAAAGGAGGAGGAGGAAGAGGAGGGAGAGGATTGGAGGAGGATTGGGAGGCCTGCGGCGTTCATGCCGTCGCCGCCGAGGACGAGGTCGAAGGCCTCGGCCCTGGGCGGCGCCGCTCCCTCCCCCAAGGCTGAGGTCGGGCACGTCCTCCTACAGGCGAAGCTTTGGCGGAAAATCGAAAGTAACCAAACAATCTCGGGACATGTTCACGAACAGTAGCAACGCAGTCGTTTCCACAACCTGTTCAACTTCTTTCTGCACACCCCTCCTGCAGGGGGACGGGCCCGACTTCACCCCCGGGCCTCCTCTCGCCAGCAGGGGAGCCGACACAACGGCAAGAAAGCATGCAGCGGACTCGGGGGCGCTCGCGGGCAGGAGCCCCCCCCATGCCGACGCGCGCGACTGCGCGCGCGCCGAGGGGGGAGAGAAAAGCCGCCCTTTCGAACCCGCGCGGGGCGGTGGCAGGGTAAGGGAGGCAGGCGGCCGCGGGGGGGGGGCGGCGGCGGCGGAGCGGGGGGGAGGGCAGCAGCAGCCCTCACACACACGCACGCACGCACGCACACACGCACACACGCACGCACGCACGCACGCACGTGCGCACGCACGCACGCACGCACGCGCGCACGCACGCACGCACGCACGCACGCACGCACGCACGTACGTACACACGCACGCACGCACGCACGCACGCACGCACACGCACACACACACACACACACACACACACACACGCACACACACAGATGTATATATACCTATACGACCGCCCTTCGGGTGAAAAGGAGGTTCGGGGGGAGGAGGAACCAACGTCTCACTCGATCGGTATCACTGTCGATCTCACTATCGATCTCATGATCGGTCTCGTTCGATCGATCTCACTCGATCGATCTCACCATCGATCTCACTCGATCTATTTAATTAGATCGATCGCACAATCGATCTGACGATCGATCTCACAATCGACCCCAATATCGACCTCACTATCGATCTGACAATCTATCCCACATTCGGTATCCAGATCGATCGCACTATCGATATCACAATCAATATCACAATCAACGACATCATCATAATGATCAACATCATAGTCGTCAACGTCATCAACATCAGCATCATCATTATCATCATCGGGGCACAATCATCATCACATCCTCTTCATCATCATCAACATCATCATCACCACCACCATCATCGGGACACCATCATCGTCACCATCATCATCAACATCATCACCATGATCGAAACACCAGCATCATCATCATCATCGGAACACCACCATCATCAGCATCATTTCATCACCATCATGAAAACAACATCAACAGAATCATCGGGACACCGTCATCATTATCAGCAGCATCATCATCCATCTCATCATCATCGGGGCACCATCATCATCGTCACCATCATCATCCCCATCATCATCATCATCATCGGGGCGACATCATCATCAACACCAGCATCATCATCATCATCATCATCATCGGGACAGCATCATCATCTCATCACCGTCATCACCTCATCATCATCATCCTCATCATTAACATCATCATCGGGACACCATAACCGTCATCAGCATCAACATCATCATCATCGGGACACCATCGTCATCACCATCACCGTTACCAACCTCAGCATCAGCATCGTCATCGGGACATCATCAGCATCGCATCGTATCATCATCATCAACATCATCATCACCGGGACACCACCATCATCACCAGCAACATCGGCATCATCAATATCATCATCATCGGTGGACCATCATCATCACCACCATGGCCATCATCATCATCATCACCATCATCATCAACGGGGCACCATCATCGTTAGCATCATCATCATCAACACCGTCATCATCGGGACACCATCATCATCATCATCATCATCATCATCATCATCGGGACACCACCATCATCATCATCCCATCATCGCCATTAATAACATCAACATCTTCATCGGGACACCATCATCATCAGCAACATCATCACCATCACCATCATCATCGTCATACCATCATCATCGTCATCATCATCATCACAATCATCATCATCGGGGCGCCATCATCATCAACACTAGCATCATCATCGGGCCACCACCATCAAAATCATCATCATCATCACCATCAACATCACCATCATCATCGGGACACCATCATCATCATCAACATCATCCTCATCTCAACATCATCACCGGGACACCACCATCATCACCATCACCATCATCAACAGCACCATCATCAATCTCATCATCGTCATCATGGGGACACCGTCATCACCATCATCCCCATCATCTCCATCATCAGCATCATATCATCGTTATCAACATCAGCAAGATCATCAGTATCATCATCATTATCATGACACCATCATCACCACCATGGCCATCATCATCATCATCATCATCATCATCATCATCATCATCATCATCATCATGAACATCAACATCGTCATCGGGACACCGACGGGACACCGGCAGGACACCGGCGGGACACCGCGCGCCACCTGCCCCCAGACAGGAAACAGTTGGTCCGGCCGCGCCTCAGCCAGAGGCGGGACACTTCTCGCCCGTTCACGCAGCTTCGCCTCGCCCGCACGCACGGCACGCACGAGCACGAAACCGAAACCGATTTCCCGGTAGGGGGGCTCTCCGTTCCACTTCGATCTCACCCCCTCACCTCCGATATATAGATGTGTGTGTGTATTGTTCTGGCGGCCGCGGCCTCGCGCGCAGCGTCGAGGCGGAGAAAGGTCGGACCTGGTGCGCGCGCGGCTGGGCCCCCAGGGGAAGCCCCGAAGACTCCGGGCACGCCCTCGGCAGCACACCGTCCGGGCGCGACTGGTGGGGAGGCGACGCGCCGAGCCGGCGCCGGGCAGGAAGTCTCGGGGCGCGTCCTGTTGCGATCCTCGGAGGCCCTGCGGCGGCCCAGGAGGAGGAGGAGGAGGAGGAGGAGGAGGAGGAGGAGGAGGGGAGGAGGAGGCAGGGGAGAGGAGGGGAAGAGGAGGAGGAGGAGGGGAGGAGGAGGAGGAGAGGAGGAGGAGGAGAGGAGGAGGAGGAGGAGGAGGAGGAGGAGGAGGAGGACGGGGAGGGGGAGGAGGAGGTGCGCGCGAGACTTCCAGGGGGGGGTACCTGCTGGCGGGCGGGGCCTCTGCCTGGGGGCGCGCCTGCGCTGAACTGGCGCAGGTCCGCGCGGACTTCTGTCGGGCCGGGCGAAAGGGGGGATAGCAAAGGGGGGGGAGGGAGGAGGGAGGAGGGAGGAGGGGGAGGAGGAGGGAGGAGCGAGCGGGGAACGCGGGGCACCCTCTCCTCAAAACGAGGACCCCACGACACAGGATGGCTGGGAACGAGCACGGAAACGATCACCGTGCCCGCTTTTCGGGTCGGGCGAAAGGGGGGGATAGCAAAGGGGGGGGTTGAGAATCAGCTCGCGTAGCTGATTTTCCTGGCGCCTCCCGGCGCCGGAGGCGTCCATGTATCCAGGAGTGGGCCCCTCGGTGGGGCCGGAACCAGCTGCATGCCGCAAATTTCGTAACCTCCCCTTTCCCAATCCCCCCCTTGCGCCCGACCCGATTCTGGGACAGGCGCTGGGGACCCCCCCCCTGGCGGTGCCTCCACGCACCCCTCCCGCGCCGATCCTGAAGGCGTCCGCTCCGAAAGTGCATGCTTCGTTCTTTTTTGAATGGGACAAGTCTAGGCCGATCCGCTCACGGAACAAATCGCTTCCTCTCTTGTCCAACCTGCTTTGAGTCGGGCCTGTGCCCCTACAGGGGGATTTTGGGCGAAAAACTAACAATACTCAAAAAATACTCCCCAAATGCTCCAAAACAGCCAAACCACAGACCCCCGACTATTTTTGCACTGTTTTTGAACATCCCTCCTGTAGAGGCACAGGCCCGACGTAAAAGTTGCTCCATGCGTCGCGTGCTGTCTCCTCGCGTCGAGGCAGGGTCGCGGCGGCAACTCTCGTCCCTCGGGGCTCAAGGGGTCAGCCAGGGCACCGGATCCTGCAGGATCCCGCGAAGACCCCCTCTGGCTGACCCGGGTTAGCGAGCCGCTCGTGGCCGCGAGGCGGCCGCGCATATTGGCTGACCCGGGTCTGCGAAGCCCTGCGTTGCAGTTCTTTGTTTCCTGCATTGCAATGTTTTGGATTCTTGCTGACCCGGGTCTGGATTGACCTGGGTCAGAAGATCCCCGAGCCCCCCCTGTAGAGGGACAGGCCCGACTGAAAACTTGCTCCATGCGTCGCGTGCTGTCTCCTCGCGTTGAGGCAGGGTCGCGGCGGCGAGGGGGAGGGGGAGGGGAGGGGGGAGGAGGAGGAGGAGGAGAGGAGGAGGAGGAGGAGGAGGAGGAGGAGGAAGGAGGAGGAGGAGGAGGGGAGGAGGAGGAGGGGGAGGAGAGGGGAGGAGGAGGAGGAGGAGGAGGAGGAGGAGGAGGAGGAGGAGGAGGGGGAGGAGGAGGAGGAGGAGGAGGAGGAGGAGGAGGAGGAGGAGGAGGAGGAGGAGGAGGAGGAGTAGGAGAAGGAGGAGGAGGAGGAGGAGGCGGAGGAAGAGGAGGAGGAGGAAGAAGAGCTCTTGCCCCCCCGGGGGGGCCCTCGCCAGGCCCGGGGGGGCCGCCACCGCAGGGGCTGCAGTGGCGGCAGGGGCAGGGCCGCGGGCCGAGACCGCAGCGGGAGCGGAACCCGGAACCGACCGAGGCCCGACGCTGGCCATACATCGGGCGTGTCCCCCTACAAGGGGAATGTTCGACGAAAAAATAAATTTACCCATAACCAGATCCCAAAATGCCCAAACGATACCCAAAAAGGTCAAACGAATGCCCCAAAAGGTCAGACAAATACCCCCCAAAGAATCCCCAGACTGTGTGTTGGACTATGGTTTGACTATGTTGTATCTTTCGCCGAAAATCCCCCTGCAGGGGGACAGGCCCGACTGAACTCTGGCCCCGAGCATCTGCGAATCGCGCAGCGACGCGGCAGGGGCGCAGCGCTCGACCAAACCGCAGCGACCCGAGTGCCACTGGCCGCGGCGCAGCCGAGCCGACCGAAGGAAGCGCGGACACCCCTCCGATTGACCCCCGCCTCCCCTGCCCCCATCCCCCTCTCCCCTCGAGAGGAGGAGGACGACGAGAGTGGGAGAGGAGGACAAGAGGACGACGAGAGTGGGAACGGAGGACGACGACAAGGGGGGAAAGGAGAGGAAAGAGAGAAGAAGGAGGAGGACGAGGAGGAACAAAAGGAGCAAGGAGGAGGAGACCTCCTCGCGTCGTGGAAAGATCATGGCGGGAGACTCTTTGGCAGTCCTCGGCTCACAAGGGGGGGTGGCCCTGGCTGGCTTAGAGGAAGGCCGAGAGACAGACGACTCGGGATGGAAAGCCCGTCCCGGGGAAGAGGTCCAAACCTCTGGGGCTCCGGGGGGGGGTCGAGGAGGAGGAGGAGGAGGAGGAGGAGGAGGAGGAGGAGACGGAGGTGGACGAGGAGGGGGAGGAGGAAGAGGAAGAGGAGGAGGAGGAGGAGGAGGAGGAGGAGGAGGAGGAGGAGGAGGAGGAGGATACGTTCCCAGACATCCGACGATTTATTTTCTTGCTCAAGCCCCGGCCCCAAGGCTGCCGTGGCGCGCGGCGCGCGGCGCGCGCCAGGGGCGGCGCCGGAGGCGCCACCGAGGGAGCCCAACGCGGATCCGAGAAATCCGCGCGGAGCGCCAACAGTTTTGTGTTTATGCCGTCGTCTCTTCTGTCCTCGCGCTGCGGCACCACTCAGGGCCGAGGGTGTTCGGCAGTTCTCGATCGGTCGCCCGAGCCTCGAGGCTTGATCGAGGATCGAGGATCGATGGGTCCTGAGAGATCGATCGATCGGTCCTCGATCGCGCGAGCGGCTCCAGGACCGATCGGTCGATCAAGGATCGATCGATCGATCGAGCGACTCTGCTCCTTCGAGAGGAGGGCGGCGGGCGGGCCCCCACTCCGTTCTCACGGCCAAGGGGCCGTGAGTGCTAGGAGGCGGAGGGGGAAACAGAGGAGGAGGGCGCACAGTTCAGAGGAGGAGAAGACGGAGGAGGAGCCGGAAGAGACGGAGGAGGAGAGGGAGGAGGAGAGGGAGGAGGAGAGGGAGGAGAGGGAGGAAGACGAGGACGAGGAGGAGGAGGAGCACCGAACACGGAGGGCAGAAAGCCCCCCCGATCCCCGGCCTCACGGCCGTCCACTCCGTCCACAGGTCCGCCCCGGCCCGCAGCTCCAGCGGCAGGCCCGCGAGGCTGCTGGGCACGGTGCACTGGCCTCGGGGAGGCGTCCGTCTGAGGCCGCCGGCGGACGGAGGAGGAGGGGAGGAGGAGGAGAGAGGAAGGAAGGAGAAGGATCGAGGAGAGGGGAGGAGGAGGGAGGACGGACGAGGAGGAGGGAGGAGGAGGAGGAGGAGGACGGATAGAGAAGAGGGGAGGAGGGAGGGAGGGAGAGGAGGAGCAGGAGGAGGAGGAGGTGGAGGAGGAGGAGGAGAAAGAGGAGGGAGAAGAGGAGAAGGAGGAGGAGGAGGAGGAGGAGAGGGAGGAGGAGAAGGAGAAGTGGAGGAGGAGAAGGAGAAGGAGGATAACGAAGAGGAGTAGGGAGGAAGGAAGAGGAAGAGGCAGACGGAAGGAGGAGGGATGAGGTGGAAGGGAATGGAGAAAGAGGCGGAGGAGGAGGAGGGAGAGGAGGAGGAGGAAGAGGAGGAGGAGGAGGAGGAGGAGGAGGAGGAGGAGGAGGAGGAGAGACTCCACCAAGCTGCACGACCACGGCCGATATTGACCTGGCCAGGGAGGTGGGGGGGAGAGAGAATCGCTACCCAGCGAAGACCGACTGTGCAGCGCTGAATGCCATCGCAGGAATATCTGAACTCCCCACACACCTGGCGGCTCGAAGAATCGACACGGTTGCTCGGTTGTTCCCTACCTAGGCTCTGCCTAGAGGGTTCTTACTCGCTGGGCTTAAAGGGGCCGGGCAGTGGGCCCCGCCCCGGGCGGTTCCCCCGGTCCCCTGGGAGCGGTTCCCCCAGTCCCCTGGATGCTTTAGCTTTAGCTTTAGCTTAGCTTTAGCTTAGATTTAGCTTAGCTTCAGCTTAGCTGTAGCTTAGCTTTAGCTTAGCTTTAGCATAGCTTTAGCTTAGCTTGAGCTTAGCTTTAGCTTAGCGTTAGCTTAGCGTTAGCTTAGCTTGACCTTAGCTTTAGCTTTAGCTCAGCGTTAGCTTAGCTTTAGCTTAGCTTCAGCTTAGCTTCAGCTTGAATTTAGCTTGGCTGTAGTTTAGCTTTAGCTTAGCTTTAGCTTAGCTTTAGCTTACCTTTAGCTTAGATTTAGCTTAGCTTCAGCTTAGCTTTAGCTTAGCGGTAGCTTAGCTGTAGGTTATCTTTAGCTTAGCTTTAGCTTAGCTGGACCTTAGCTTCAGCTTAGCTTCAGCTTAGCTTCAGCTTAGCTTCAGCTTAGCTGTAGCTTAGCTGTAGCTTAGCTGTAGCCCAGCTTTAGCGTAGCTTTAGCTAAGATTTAGCTTAGCTTTAGCTTAGCTTCACTGCCACTGCTAATGCTGCTTTCCTAGGGGCTCCAACTCCTAGGTAGGGTCGCACTGGGATAATGTTTGTTTCGTAGGGCCCTGGCAGCCAGTTTCGAGCTCCTGGGCCTGAGCAGCACTCGGGATCAAAAAACAGGAGCGGGGGGGAAGGGTCGGGAAAAAAAGCCCACGTCTCTTGAACATCGAGCCGCTGGATGACCTGGGCTCGACCTGAGTGATGGTGAGGAGGAGGCGGAGGAGAAGGAGCACGGGGACCGCACGCAGCTGGGGGCGACGCGTGACGCCTTCGCCGCTGGCGCGTGTGGCCAGCCTCGTGGGTGGAAGACGCCGCAGATGGGCCGTTGGGATCGCCGGGCCGAGAGGGCGGAGACTCGTGCTCCGCCTTCGGGGGTCAGGGAAGCCGCAGATGGGCTTTGAGATTGCCGAGCCGAGGGGGCGAAGACTCGTGCTCCGCCTTCCGCTTGCGGCAGACATGAAATCCGAGGGCATTCGAATCGATGAGGGAGCACAAGGAGGAAGAGGGCCAGGAGGAACTGGATGAGCGAAAATCACCGCGCCAACTATGGTGCTGCCCTCATTCGAACGGGAGCACCCAATAACCGAGCGGGGCTTGCAACATATGTGCAAGCGCGTGTCCGCCGGACGATGTGATATTCAAGCAGTCGTATGTGCAGGCAGGTTGATGTGCGACCGTACGAAATCATCTGGCACCGTATGAGACCACCAAGCTCTGAAGGGTCAGCACTGCTGGACAATTGTATTGCTGGTAAAGCGTCTTCTTCATTCCCAAACCCCTCTCTTTCTCTCTATTGCCCCTCCCCCTGCCTGCCGTCACTGTGAGCCAATATCCTCCTTGCTGCCCGTTGGGAAGCCCACGCATCTGGCCGCCACACCACAGAGGTTGCCCCAGGATTTGCGCAGGGGGATACTCACAGCGCAGGGGGTGCTGTGTAAGTTTATCAGGAGGCCCCATACAAAAACAAGAGAGGAGGAGGAGGTGGCACCCAGAGGCCGTAGCATGCCCCCCCCCGAAGACCTGACCCAAAAATCTGATCCTGAGAGGCCGCCACGTAGCCCCAAGATGGCCCAAAGAAGCCCCTCGGGTGGCCAATAAGGTTAGGTCGGGCATGTCCCCCTACAGGCAATTTGTTGACGAAAAGTACAACATGCCAACAACAATAATCAACATGTCTAAACATATTCAAAACATCGTGCCCAGCTCTTCAGACTATTTTGAATATTCCTCCTGTAGAGGGACACGCCCGACTTAGCAAGAAGGCTCCAGATGGCCCCAGCATGGCCCCCAGCGTGGCCCAGACATGGCCCGACCTCGGCCAGAAGCAGAGGGCGCAGCCTCTGATACGATATATCCCACCAGCCCCCTGGGCGCAGGTGGTCTAACGATGACTTCCTTTCCCCTTCCAAGAACCCCTTCCCCTTCGGGGAGGGGTCTGCCCCTCCGCCGACGCCCTCCCCTTGGACCTGGGCGGGAGGGGCCGCGATCGGATGGGGCGTCCAAGGTCGGCCCCTGGGAGGGCCATGCTTTGGCACCCCTCACGAGGATCGTGGCCCCCGAGGGGGGGGGGGCGCCGATCGGGACCCTCCCTCCTCTGGTCCTCCCTGGGGGGGGGGGGGGGCGCCGATCGGGACCCTCCCTCCCTCCCTCCCTCCCGATCGATAGCCTCGAAAATGGCCCCAAGAGGCGCTCCAGGGCTCCCAAGAGAGCCCGAAGAGAGCCCCAAGGGGCTCCAAGAGGGTCCCAAGCCAAGAGGCACCCGAGAGACCCCCAAGAGGCCTCGAGCGGCCTCAGAGAGTTCAAGATGACCTCCAAGATGGCTCAGATAACCCAAACTGGCTCAAGATGGCTCCCAGGATGCTCCAAACGGCCCAACGACCGCTCCAAGAGCTCCCAAGAACGCTCCAAGAAAGCCCCAAGAAGCGGGTTGCCGGCTCCTGAGAGGGGGAGCTGAGTTGAGGACCCCCCATCCTGTAATCGATGGCCTCCAAGATGATCCCAATAAGCCTTCCAAGGTTACCAAGAGGGTTCCAAGAGGGCCCCAAAAACTCCCAGAGAGCACCAGCAGTAGCAGCAACCGCAATAATACTTCCAGATGGTTCCATGAATCCTCGTCCGCGTCGTCCTCATCGTAGTCCTCGTCCTCCTCGTCCTCGTCATCATCCGCGTCCTCTTACTACTCGTCCTCCTCGTCCTCCTCGTCCTCCTCGTCCTCCTCGTCCTCCTCCTCCTCCTTTTCCCATCGCCCCCACGCGGCACCCAGGGATGGCCCGAAGAGGCCTTCCAAGGCCGCCCCCTTGCTCGCTTTGTTTCCCTAAATGTGTCTCTATGTCCGTTTTCCCGTCAGCTCTGAAGGGCAGGGTTTCTGAACGGGCTGGTGCGAGCGGGCAGGAAAGCCAGTCGCCGTCAAGAAGCGCGGCGAGCAGCGAACTAAATTCCGCACTAGGGCGCACAGGAGCGAGCTACGCTGCGGCTCAAGCGGTGACCTGGCGGAGTCACTGGTCGACGTGGAAAAGCTGGCGGGGATACTTTGGTCAACAGGCTCGCGAGGCAGGTCGAAAGCCGTCCGAACACTAGTCGGGCCGCGACTAGGCAGCAAGAGACGAAAGCAAGCACTGGTGGGGATACTTTTTCGGTCGCGTCCGCCAGCGAGAGCGCAAGCGGAGTCAGAAGCGTTCCGGGACACGGTAACGGCCCAATTAGCTACTAAACGCGCCGCAGGCCGGCTGGCCCACTCACCAAGCAGCCGCGGGGCTGCGGGGGAAAGCTGACAGGCTGAGGGCGTCCAGGGAAGCTCAGGCATATGCAGCCTAGCAAAATGCCAGGGAATTCGATGTATGCCCTGGGGCAAAACCCACACAGACAGCGCGAGGACGTGTGCGCCGGTGTCTACGAGTCCATCATGCCTGGTGGGCGCTCAGGCGAGGCGAACGATGGGCGAGTCGCCAGTGGGGCGCCAGGCCCAGGGCCGTCCCAACGGCGTCTGCGAGCTAGGTGGGCTGAGCTGCCGAGGAACGTCGCAAACCTGCCTGATGGATGGGATGGGTCCAGGGGAGCGGCACTGGTGGGGATACGCGAAGCGTGAAGAAATTCGAATTGTCCCATCCTCTCGATAGAGCTGGATTCCGACATGCAAATTGAAACCGCCCGCGCGCACACGTATGCTCATTGGCGTGCGGCATGCGTGCCGAGCTGAAATCTGCGCCGAGCTCGCGATCGAACGCGACCTGAAAGTTGCAACGCTCCTACAAGATCGCCGCGCAGAGCGTGGATCTCGACTGGCATTTAAAGTACAGAGCTTAGACCGTTCCGGTGGGGACCATCATCGCCAGGTTGGGTCAGCATGTGAAGCGTCGGCGGAGCGACATAACTAGTCAATTGCAGCTGGCTTCATGTCAAGCAACCGCTGGCACGTTGGCCTCTCTGGGCGTCGACGGGAACATTCCCCTGACCACTCGGCGGGGGAAGTAGAGCATGCACGTGACCACCAGCTCGATGACGACGAGGAGGACTGCGAGCCACTGGGGAGCGGCGGGGGTTATCAGTGCCAGCGGCACGGCGAGGCAGACGGAGAAGATCATGGCGGTGGCCAGGGGGCCGCTGAGCCGGCTCAGCAGGGAGTGCCCGCCTGCGGGCGCATCTCCGAAAGTCGTACCCGCCAGGTCCGTGATGAGACGCATCGCGATCGCATCCGTGAAGAAGCAGATGCTGGCGAACGCAATGCAGATGTTCACCAAGTTCGGGATGCCGTCCTGCACGGCATTTATGATGATCGTCGAACTCACGAGGATATGACCTTGGCTGATGTCAAAAACGTTGGGGTGCTCTCTCCTCCGCTTCCAACTGTTCTGATCCGGCCAACCCACACGAACAACCAAAAACACGGCAGCCAAAATCATGAACAAAAAACGGCGATTCGAAAAAAGAACCGAACCGAAACCAGCGCGGATGAGACCCCCCCAACAGGAAAAAGGATCCCAAAACGGGAATGATAACGTCGACCGTGAACACACAAAAACGCCCCCCCGCGGCTCAACATCAAAGGATGTGACTGAGCGAGCCCACGGTCACCACGTGGTACGGGACCGGGCCCTGCTCATTGAGCATCTCTTCCACGCGCTCGGCCACAGCCGTGCGAACGTAGTGCTCGAACTGCGCCACCTCACCGAACCAGTGCTCGATCTGCTCCTGGACGAACTCGCGGTCGCTCTCCTCGGCGGCGGGCCCCCAGGGGGGAATAATGCAGAGAGGGGGCGGGCCTCCTCGGAAGGCTCGGCGGGCCCCCGGCCTGCTGAGAGGCTGTCTATAGGCCTTCTCCGAAGGCAAAGGCGGCGTCTCCAACGGCCGGAGGGCTCCTGAGAACCCCCGCCACCTTCTGAGGAAGCCTGCCCTTAGTGGGCCCCGGAAACGGCAGGGCCGTTTTTTCACCATTTCCGAAAAAGTGCCCCTTGAAAATGGAAACGGCAAAAAAACGGCGTGCGGAAACGGCAACAAAAACGGCTCCAGGAGTAGAGCCGGAGCGGGAACCCGTTGAAAGAACGGCGACAGAACCAGCAACAAAAAAACGGCACAACGAAACCAGCAACAAAAACGGCCCTGCCGTTTCCAGGGCCCACCTGCCCTCTCTGAGTTGCCCCCGAGGAGGAGGAGGAGGAGGAGGAGCAGGAGGAGCAGGAGGAGGAGGAGGAGGAGGAGGAGGATGCGGATGCGGATGCGGAGGCGGAGGCGGAGGAGGAGGGGGAGGAGGAGGAGGAGGAGGAGGAGGAGGAGGTGCCGCCCATCGCCTTGAGGCACTCCGCCTTCTCGAACTCGAACGTGCGCACCTGCTGCAGCAGCTCCTTGCGGTCCCTCACGGGCAGCGCCGACGGCATCCCTATGTCCCCACCGGTCCGGGCCTCGGGCCCACGGGCCGCCTGTACTCGTCCTCCCCCTCCTCCTCCTCGCCCGCCATTCCTTTCCCTCCTGGACGGCCCCCGTGGCATCAGCGCCAGAGGCCTCCGCGCTCGGCTCGTCACTGTTGTCACCGCCGCCCCCGCCGTCGACGTCGACGTCGGCATCGTCGTCGTCGACGTCGTCTTCGCTACCAAGGTCCCGACCACAAGAAGCCTTCCGCAAGAAACCCAAGCCCGAGACCCCAGGACGTCCCTTGATCTTTGGTGTGGGAACGTCACGCCTTCGGGAGCAGAACCATCGACACCCAAGAAACCCAGGGCACCCTGGAGGCAAGCAGGGTGCTTCTTGGCGTGGGTCTCCACTGTACCAACCTGGGTGGGGATATATATGCCTGTCGGGCTTTGCGGGGCTGGTCCCCACTTGGGAGGGTGGGCTGGTGGGGCCGAGATGCAATTGTCCAGCGGGCATGGGATGAGGTTCGACGCTGCTGACCTCATGTGCCACTTGCAGAACATCCAGAAGAACGGAGACGTGAGAGCGTACAGGCCGACGAAGTTTAGCACGACGCACACGAGCCAGAGGTACGGATACTGCGCGGCTTTGGGCACCACCTCCGCCACCCATTCGGCGTGCTCTGGGAGAAGAAGGGTCCAAGGCAGGAGAATACAGAAACAGATGGTTGCGACTGAGTGAAAGACGTTGAGGGCGATCGCGAACACGGACAGCTTCAGCGGCAAGAAGCTCACTCTCCTGCAATCCGCCGACCCTTGTGGGACCACTCGGCGCGTGCGATTCGGATTCGCCTCCCCGGAAGAACCCCCCCCAAGTCCCGAACTGCGGACTCGATTGGGTTGGGCACACACACATACACTTTCCCTACCCCACTGCCCTGCCCCCCGCACCAGAGTCCGCGCGGGAGCCTCAAGCCTGGTAGAGAACTACGGGGGGGGGGCTACCAGAACGGCCCCGCAGGCACCCAAGACGACTCAAGAGGTCCCAAAGTGAGGTGATACCACAGGGTGGCCCAAAACGGGCCTCAGTTGGACCCAGACTCGATGCAAGCCTGGAGTGCGTCAGAGTCCGGTTGCTTCCATATTTCCTCAGATCTTCCACCAAGACGTCTTCAGGCAACGCACGGCTGCGGAGTGCGACACAACACGAAACATCGGGTGAGGATAAGTCGAGCACCTTTGAGGTCCGGCGGCTGTGGAGAATGTCTCGGGCGCCGCGGCCATCTCAGAGCGTTCCCGAACGCTCTGAGAGCGTTCTGGAACGCTCTGGAACGGAATTATTCTGGTCCTAGCCCCGTCCGACTACCGTTTGGTCGGACATGTCCTCGTTACCGGTGGGATATTCAAACATAGTTAAACAATCACCTTGGGACGATTCTCGGCTATGTTGGACAATTTTTCTACAAAAATCCTCCCCAGGTTATTTTTGTTGACTAAGAACTCCTCCTGTAGAGGGACATGCCCGATTCAAGACTACCGCCACCTGCTTCTCCGCCGCCTGGGCCGCTTGCCACCGGAAGGCGACCTCCGATGCCTCTCCTGGGGCGCATCCTGGTCCGGACGCCCAGGGAGGCCCGAAGGGCTCCCTGAGCATCCAGCAGCCCTGCTTCAGCGGCGAGCCCAGGGGGGAAGGCAGAGATGAAGGGGCCCTGGGACACACAAATAAATACACACAAATAAAACTATCCCCACATCTTCCCATATTTTCCTGGGTTTTTGTCTTCCCACCACTTCCCATAGTTTCCCATATTTTCGGGGGAATCGACAATTTATTGTGTCTGCGTGTTTCTTCCCTCCTGAAGAGAGGGGGCGTGGATGCTCAGGCGGCTCCGAAAGCCTCCGGCCGTCTGCGCAGCCGTCGAGAGCCTTCTCCCGAGGGCGCTCCGGCAGCTCCTCCGAGGCTGCGAGGGCTCCTTCAGAAGCCCCGCGGCGCTCGCCGCCACGTGCTCCTCGCTTTTTTGGACTATGTGTTGGCCAATTCTTGGACCATATTTTGGCTATTCCTGGGCTGTGGTTTGATTATGTTTGGACTCTTTTGTTGGCTATGTCTGGGGTATGCTTTATTTTTCGTCGAAGCTCCCCCTGTAGGGGGGACAGGCCTCCGGTCGTCTGCGCAGCCGTCGAAAAGCCCTCTCCCGAGGGCGCCGGGCAGCTCCTCCGAGGCTGCGAGGGCTCTTTCAGAGGCCCCGCGGCGCTCGCCGCCAAGTGCTCCTCGCCACCAGTAGGGGAACGAAAAGTGGCATAAACAGAACAACTCGGAGGTCCGCGCGGATTTCTCGGATCGGCGCTGGACCCCCCTCCCTGGCGCGCGGGGCGCGCCAGGGGCGGCGCCGGAGGCGCCGCCAGGGGGGTCCAGCGCCGATCCGAGAAATCCGCGCGGACCTCAGAGTTTGTTATGTTTCTGTCACTTTTCGTTCCCTTCATCAGGATGTCCCCAGGGCAGCCCCGAGAGAGCAAGCGAAGAGACGCCCGAGACGGACATGCGCAGAGGCCCACGGTGGCTCACGAGACAAAGCCCAGAGAGCCTCGAGACCTCCCAAGTCGGCCCTGGGACCTTCCGCAACGAGAATAATAATAATACCAATAATTAATATTAGCAAGAAGAAGACGAAGAATAAGCAGAAGAAGAAGACACATAATAATAATCTGCATGAGCATGAGCTATCGGACGTCCGCGCGTACTTCTCGGATCGGCGCGGGATCCCCCTCGCTGGCGGCCCAACGTAGATCAGATACATCCGCGTGGACATTCAGTTGTAGAAGCCAATGCATGCACTTGTTGCTCGACCACTATCCCGAACATCAATTTCAAGATGTCCCGCGATAAGCCAAGCATGTTCCCAGAAGTCAATGCAGTGACCAGCGCGCCTGCACCACATATCTCTACTACAGATTAAGGCCGCAGCCAACCTGCACGACACATTACACCAAGCACCGAACTCAAAGGGTTCGCGGATGTGGCGATGGCATGTTGAATCCTTGTTCATGTGCACGAAGGGGGCCCCCAGAGAGCCACAGAACGGCCGCGAGAGGCCCACAGGACGGCCTCCCGAGGGACCAAACCGCGCAAGAGCGCCCCAAAACGGCCCAAGACGGCCCCAAGAGGCCACAAGAGGCCCCAAAGCAGCCCCCAAGAACCCCAAGAGGCCCCCCAGGGGCCTCCAAGAGTCCCCGAAGAGGCTCCCACCAGGCCCCGCAACGACTGGATTGCACGTGCTCTGGACGTGCACCCCGCGAAGCGAAAGGAATCTTTGTTCATGTGCATGAACGCTGCGAGCTCGTATACGCACCAGAGCCTCGTGAAGTACTTCGGCTGCCACAGCACCACCATGTGCTCGGAGTAGCGCAGGAACGCGCCCAACTGCTTGATTCCTATGGCCTTCTTGGCCTCGTCAGTCTGGTGTATGCAGGTCTTGTCCAGGAAGCAGTAGCGCGTCCCCCACGGGAGCTCCTGCCCGTACCGGAGGACGAGGAAGAACACCAGCATCGGCAGGGCGCAGTGCATCTGCAGACGCATGCTTGGGACCACCTCGCTTCCGTCGAACATCCTGAGGATGTCTCAAATGGGCAGACACACCTGTGGACCTTGGGAGGCACGCACGGGCTCCTTGGATCGGCTGCGGATCCCGAGCCCCCCGGGCGCGCAGCGCGCGGCAGGGGCGCCGCCGGAGGCACCGCCCATCCTCCTCCTCCTCCTCCTCCTCCTCCTCCTCCTCCTCCTCCTCCTCCTCCTCCTCCTCCTCCTCCTCCTCCCGGGGGGGGCCCAGCGCCGACCCAGGAAATCCGCGCGGGCCTTCGAACGCTGGCGTCGATGCGCCTTCCTGCTCCTCGAGTCCTGGTATCCCCGTGCACCGGCGGTATCGGGAAAGTGTAGGCGCCGGCGAGCTCCAGGGCATGCAGCACCGCGTGGACGAGGACCGCCGCGGCCACGGCGCGGGGCGTGTTCAGGTAGAACGCGAGGCCCGCCATCTTCAGCCACCCGGGGGTCATCCACTCGTGCGAGAGGAAGGCGTCGATGACCATGACGGGCCTGGACAGCGCGAACGTCTCCTCGCCGCCCGCGCTCGCACCCCAGAGCCGCCGCGAACGCAGCGCGAAGCCGGCCGGCATCCCGCGCATGAGCTCCGGATCCGCGGCGGTCAGGACCGGGTCCCCGTCCAGCTCGGCCTCCCTGCTGGCCGACCGGTGGCACACCCTCGAGGCCGTGCTCCGCCTGCCGCTGTCCGGGGTCTTCACCCTCGCGGCGCTCGGGCTCGCCGCCCCGCTGCTGCGGCGGCTGAGCAGCCGCGGCAGCCGTCGGGAGTGGGCCTCGCTGGCCTCGCGGCTTGCCTGTGGGCGGGAGTGGCGCACGAGGGGGTGGCGCGAGGCCGCCTTCTCAAGAAGGCGGGAGCTTCTGACCAGGGAGGGGCCTTCTCCGCAGCGCCCGGACTTGTCTACAATCGGACCTGGGCCAGAAGAGCACCCCTCAAGAGCATGAGACCCGGCGTCGGCCAAAACAGGCAGAACATCCAAGGGTACACTCCCTAGGATGCACAAGAACGTCCAACCTTCAGAACGCTAGGGTGCCCGCCCCGAACCGACATCGACCTTAAACCTCGGTCCGACTGTAAGAGGGGTCTCTTAGAGACCGGGAAGCTTCTAAGAAGCCACCTGCTTTTAGGTCTGGCATGTCCCCCTACAGGCGGATGTTGGACGAACAGAATAGCCAAACAATGCTCAAACAAATAATCAAAAATTGTCAAACAATGTTCCCCAGACTAGTTTTCACTATTTTCGAATTTGCCTCCTGTAGAAGACAGGCCCGACTTAACAACCTGCTTCCTTCGAGGCGCCCACCCCTTCTCAGAGTGCCGTTATTTTCGCACCCCCCCCTGGCGCTCGCCGCCGAAGGGGAAGGAGGAGCGGAAGAAGAGGGTCCTGCGGTGCGCAGTGGAGGCCAATCCACAGGAAACCTTCCGCTTGTGGAGTCCAAAGCCCTAGATAGCAGGGTGCCCGGAGGGCGTGGGAAGGCCTGGCGAAGAACTCTGGAAGGACCTGGAGAGAGCTGCCGAAGGACCTTCTGGAGAGCTTCCGGGCACGCGTATTGGGAAACGTTTAGAGAAGGACTAGCGGAGCACGCTGTGGGTTGAAGCAAATCGCGCCGAGGTTTCCTGCCGGAAGCCGGAACGACCTCCTAGGCTACCCTGCGGCTCCGGCTGCTTAATCTGAAACCCTCTTAGCTCTCAGGGAGCTGTCCGGAAACAAGAAGTCCAGCCCTGAGGCCCCAGGACGTGCATTGATGTCTGGTGTGGGAACGTCACGCTGTCCATCGCAACAAGCGGCACCCAAGAAACCCAGAGCACCCTGGAGTTGAGCGGGGACCGACTGCCCCGGCATTCATATAGGCCTACTACAACATGTTCTTAGAACCCACACGTGTTCTATGAGCAAAAACGATGTTCTTAGAACATTAAGCCAATGTCTTAAAGCAAGACAGCCCCAGCCAGGATTTTCTAAGACAATTTCGTGAAGACCACGAAAGGTTCCTAGAACATTATTTGGAAGGCTTATAGGTACGCCAAGACGCTTCGCCACTGCTTGATGGATGCAGGCAGGGTGCTTCTTGGCATCGGCCTCCACTGCCTCCTTGAGTCTTCCCCGGCAGCACCGCTTCTGCATCCCGAGAGCCATTTTTCCTGCAGCCCCATCGGGCCTGGGAGCTCCGAGTGCGGCGCCAGGAGGAAGAGGAGGAGGAGGAGGAGGAGCCCTTGCCCCTCTCGGGGGCGCGCAAACATGGATTGGCGATCCATGGATTTGGCGCGCGGTCGCCAAGTTCGGGGGAGCTGCCCTCCCCCAAATGCGGCGGGTGCCGCCTCGTTCGGCGGCGGAAATGCGCGATTTCCCATGGAGCGGGACCCGTCGCTAATCCACGCCCCATTGATCCATGTCTGCGATCGCCTTACCCTCGGGACTCCGTTTCTACATGGGCGACTTCGGAAACCCTGAACCCCCAAAACGTTCTCATCTCTTGATGGCGTTTTTCTTGTTCCCAACCATCCTGTGGTGTTGGGTCCTCGTGTTGAAGAGACGGTGCCCCGCGTTCCTCTCCTCTCCTCTCCTCCTCTTCCCCCTCCTCCCTCCTCCCATCAGCATCATCATCATCATCATCGTCAGCATCATCATCGTCATCATCATCATCATCATCATCATCATCATCATCATCATCATCATCATCATCATCATCATCATCATCATCATCATCATCATCATCATCATCACCCACCATCATCGTCATCATCACCATCATTGTCACACCTCTCACACGTTTCGTGGCCCCATAGGGAGCTCCACCGAAGGCCCCAGTGCTGCCGCCCGCATGCGTCAGCCACACCCAATTCGGCATACCCCTCACACGTTTCGTGGCCCCATAGGGAGCTCCACCGAAGGCCCCAGTGCTGCCGCCCGCATGCGTCAGCCACACCCAATTCGACACACCCCTCACACGTTTCGTGGCCCCATAGGGAGCTCCACCGAAGGCCCCAGTGCCGCCGCCCGCATGCGTCAGCCACACCCCCAATTCGGCACACCCCTCACACGCTTCGTGGCCCCATAGGGAGCTCCACCGAAGGCCCCAGTGCTGCCGCCCGCATGCGTCAGCCACACCCAATTCGGCACACCCCTCACACGTTTCGTGGCCCCATAGGGAGCTCCACCGAAGGCCCCAGTGCCGCCGCCCGCATGCGTCAGCCACACCCAATTCGGCACACCCCTCACACGTTTCGTGGCCCCATAGGGGGCCCCACCGAAGGCCCCAGTGCCGCGCCCGCATGCGTCAGCCACACCCATTCGGCACACCCCTCACACGCTTTCGTGGCCCCATAGGGAGCTCCACCGAAGGCCCCAGTGCTGCCGCCCGCATGCGTCAGGCACACCCAGTTCGGCACAACCCTCACACGTTTCGTGGCCCCATAGGGAGCTCCACCAAAGGCCCCAGTGCCGCCGCCCGCATGCGTCAGCCACACCCAATTCGACACACCCCTCACACGTTTCGTGGCCCCATAGGGAGCTCCACCGAAGGCCCCAGTGCCGCCGCCCGCATGCGTCAGCCACACCCAATTCGGCACACCCCTCACACGTTTCGTGGCCCCATAGGGAGCTCCACCGAAGGCACCAGTGCCGCCGCCCGCATGCGTCAGCCGGCACACCCCTCACACGCTTCGTGGCCCCATAGGGAGCTCCACCGAAGGCCCCAGTGCCGCCGCCCGCATGCGTCAGCCACACCCAATTCGGCACACCCCTCACACGTTTCGTGGCCCCATAGGGAGCTCCACCGAAGGCCCCAGTGCTGCCGCCCGCATGCGTCAGCCACACCCAATTCGGCACACCCCTCACACGCTTCGTGGCCCCATAGGGAGCTCCACCGAAGGCCGCAGTGCCGCCGCCCGCATGCGTCAGCCACATCCAATTCGGCACACCCCTCACACGTTTCGTGGCCCCAGCCCGCATGCGTCAGCCACACCCATTTCGGCACACCCCTCACACGTCTCGTGGCCCCATAGGGAGCTCCACCGAAGGCCCCAGTGCCACCGCTCGCATGCGTCCCGCACACCCATTTCGGCACCTCCACCAAACACAGCGTTTCGTGGTTCCACAGGGACTTCCACCGAAGGCCCCAGTGGTGCCGCCCGCATGCGTCACCCCCACCCCAGCACAGCATTTCGTGGCCCCACAGGGAGCTCCACCGAAGGCCCCAGTGGTGCCGCCCGCATGCGCCACCCCCACCCAGCACAGCGTTTCGTGGCCCCATAGGGGAGCTCCACCGACGGCCCCAGTGGTGCCGCCCGCATGTGTCTCTCCCGCCCAGTACAGCGCTTCGTGGCCCCACAGGGACCTCCACCGAAGGCCCCAGTGGTGCCGCCCGCATGCGTCACCCCCACCCAGCACAGCGATTCGTGGCCCCATAGGGGGCCCCACCGAAGGCCCCAGTGCTGCCGCCCGCATGCGTCATCCACACCCAATTCGGCACACCCCTCACACGTTTCGTGGCCCCATAGGGAGCCCCACCGAAGGCCCAAGTGCTGCCGCCCGCATGCGTCACCCACACCCAATTCGGCACACCCCTCACACGCTTCGTGGCCCCCTCGGGAGCCCCACCGAAGGCCCCAATGCTGCCGCCCGCATGCGTCCCGCACGCCCAAGTCGGCACACCCCTCACACCTTTCATTTCGTGGCCCCATAGGTAGCCCCACCGCAAGTCCGAAGGCCCCTAGTGCTGCCGCCCGCAGCGTCACCCACCCCAATTCGTGCACACCCTCACACGCTTCGTGTCCCATCGGGAGCTCCGCCGAAGGCCCCAGTGCTGCCGCCCGCATGCGTCACCCACACCCAATTCGGCACACCCCTCACACGTTTCGTGGCCCCATCGGAGCTCCGCCGAAGGCCCCAGTGCTGCCGCCCGCATGCGTCACCCACACCCAATTCGGCACACCCCTCACACGTTTCGGGGCCCCATAGGGAGCCCCACCGAAGGCCCCAGTGCTGCCGCCCGCATGCGTCACCCACACCCAAGTCGGCATACCCCTCACACGTTTCGTGGCCCCATAGTGAGCCTCACCGAAGGCCCCGGTGCTGCCGCACGCATGCGTCCCGCACACCCAATTCGGCACAGCCCTCACACGTTTCGTGGCCCCATAGGGAGCCCCACAGAAGGCCCCAGTGCTGCCGCCCGCATGCGTCACGAGCATCTAATCTGGCACACCCCTCACACGTTTCGTGGCCCCAAAACGGAGCCCCACCGAAGGCCCCAGTGCTGCCGCCCGCATGCGTCCCGCACACCCAAGTTGGCACACCCCTCGCACGCTTCGGGGCCCCATAAGGAGCCCCACGGAAGGCCCCAGTGCTGCCGCCCGCATGCGTCCCGCACGCCCATGTCGGCACAACCCTCACACGTTTCGTGGCCCCATAGGGAGCCCCACCGAAGGCCCCAGTGCTGCCGCCCGCATGCGTCACGCACACCCAAGTCGGCACACCCCTCACACGTTTCGTGGCCGCATAAGGGAGCCCCACCGAAGGCCCCAGTGCTGCCGCCCGCATGCGTCACGCGCATCTAATCCGGCACTCCCCTCACGCGTTTCGTGGCCCCATAGGGAGCCCCACCGAAGGCCCCAGTGCTGCCGCCCGCATGCGTCACCCACACCCACTTCGGCACACCCCTCACACGTTTCGTGGCCCCATAGGGGGCCCCACCGAAGGCCCCAGTGCTGCCGCCCGCATGCGTCACGCACACCCAATTCGGCACACCCCTCACACGTTTCGTGGCCCCACACGTTTCGTGGCCCCATAGGGGGCCCCACCGAAGGCCCCAGTGCTGCCGCCCGCATGCGTCACGCACACCCAATTCGGCACACACCCCACACGTTTCGTGGCACCATAAGGAGCTCCGCCGAAGGCCCCAGTGCTGCCGCCCGCGTGCGTCACGCGCACACAATTCGGCACACCCCTCACACGTTTCGTGGCTCCATAAGGAGCTCCGCCGAAGGCCCCAGTGCTGCCGCCCGCATGCGTCACGCACGCCCAATTCGGCACACCCCTCACCAGGAAGGCCAACACGTTTCGTGGCCCCACAGGGAGCCCCACCGAAGGCCCCAGTGGCGGCGCTCACATGCGCATGCGTCCCGCACACCCATTTTGGCACATCCCTGACAGGTTTCGTTGCCCCATCATCCACCGGAGGCCGCAGTGGCGGCGCTCACATGCGCCCCCGCCACCCAATTCGGCACACCCCTCACACGTTTCGTGGCCCCATAGGGAGCTCCACCGAAGGCCCCAGCGGCCGCGCTCACATGCGTCCCCGCCACCCATCCCGGCACGCCCCTCACAACAACATGTTTCGTGGCCCCATAGGGAGCTCCATCGAAGGCCCCAGTGGTACCGCCCGCATGTGTCACCACCCGCACCCAATTCGGCACACCCCTCACACGTTTCGTGGCCCCATAGGGAGCCCCACCGAAGGCCCAGTGGCGGCGCTCACATGCGCCCCCGCCACACATCCCAGTACACCCCTCACGCGCTTCGTGGCCCCATAGGGAGCTCCACCGAAGGCCCCAGTAGCGGCGCTTACATGCGTGTCCGCCACCCATCCCGGCCCCCCCCCCGCAGCAGCATCATGTTTCGGGGACCCATAGGGAGCTCCACTGGAGGCCCCAGTGGCGGCCCTCACATGCGTTTCCGCCACCCATGTCGGCACGCCCCGCGCGTGTTTCATGTCCCCATAGGGAGCTTCGCCGAATGCCCCAGTGGCACCCATCTCGGCACACCCCTCACACGTTCCGTAGTCCTATGGGGAGTTCCACTGAAGATGAAACCCGCAGCTGCGGTACTGACAACTGCATATGGTTGGGTTCTTCGCCAGGCTAATTGTTACTTTCGCCGCCTTCCGCCGGCCTTCCGCTGGCTTCCGCCGGCGGAGGTGGCCTCGTTTTACTTCCGCCGACCTTCCGCCGCGGAAGAGATGGCAGCTCCTCCCTCGATCCTCGAAGGCAAGACCCTTTTTGGTAAGTCGGTCATGGTGAGCTTCCCTCGGGGCTCCCAGCGACATCCGGGCTCGATTTCCTCGGGACGTGAAGGAGCCTCCGGCGAGCCTCCCGACGCCCACAAGGGCTGACGTTTGCCGCCCCGACTCGCTTTCTGATGACCGATGGGGCCCGGGACGTGCTCCCAGACGACCAGAACGGCGAACCACTGGCGGCCGCCTCGATTTCGCTCCAGAGGCCGGGTGGCCGGGCCCCTCCGTGCAGGTGCGGGGGTCGAAAAGTCCGCCCTCCGCGCTGTTCAGGGACGCGCTCTGGCCAGCATTCGAAAGGAATCCAGCCGTAGCCCCGATCAGACCCCCGAATTGGCGGCGTAGCAGAGCTTTACCGTATCCGCCTCCTGCACTCCTCCTCCTCCTCCTCCTCCTTCTCCTCCTCCTCCTTCTCCCTCTCCTCCTCCACCCTCCACCCTCCACCTACGCCCTACATCTTACGAGGGATGACAACATCCATGATTTGTTAGATAATCCTCACTCTTCCCCTCTTCGACGCGAGGCCCGCCCGGCAGGAGAAGGTCCACTGGACCAGGCAGGAGAACGGGCCTCCGATAGCGGATCGGCACGTTCCTGGGACTATAGCGGTCAATGGGCGAGTGAGGGTCGATGCCTCCCCCGCCAAGGTTGCCCTCGAAATTCCTGGGGCAAGTATCTTCGCGCTTCGCGCTCCGCGCAGCGCGATTCTCTTCGCGCTCTCGTGCCGCCCCCCCGCCCCCGGAGCAGGATGAAGGACTCGCGCCTCGCGTTGAACTCGCACAGACCGCGACGCGCGACTAACTCCGCGCCCTCGTGGTGCCCCTATAATCCAAGAACCCCAGAAGCCCTATAGATAGAAGCCTCCTGGATGGGGTCGGCGTAGATGGTGTCGGAGGATCGCGCCGCATAGCCGATACATCGGCGATGCATCGGCGATGCATCGGTTATGCACCGGCGATGCATCGTCGACGTCGGCGATGCCTCGGCGACGTCGACATGAAGCGAAGCGGGCTCCACATCGAGCCGCATCGCTGATGCATCGGCGACGCGGCGCGACCCTCCGACCCCATCTACTCCGACCCCATCTGGGAGGCCTATAGACTGGCCATCGCTCGGACGTCCATTCCCTGAGCTTTTTTCGGTTCCGTGCGTGGCTTTTCGCCACATGATCAAGGATGCCCCTCGATGGTCCTCGCCGAAGGAACACTGCACACGTCCGAGCCTTAACGGGGCCCCGGAAACGGCAGGGCCGGTTTTTCACCGTTTCCGAAAAAGTGTCCATTGAAAATGGAAACGGCGAAAAAACAGCGACCACAAACGGCAACAAAAACGGCTCCAGGATTGGAACCGGAGCGGGAACCTGTAAAACAACGGCGTCGGAACCAGCAAAGAAACTGCGTCGGAACCAGCAACAAAAACGGAAAAACGGAACCGGTAAAAAAAGGCCCTGTCGTTTCCAGGGCCCACTAAGGTCCGAGCGATGCCAAGTAGATACAGGGGATAGCACATCGGGGGATAGTACAAGGGGGGGTCAGAATCAGCTCACGTAGCTGATTTTCCCGGCGCCTCCCAGCGCCGGAGGCGGCAATGTATTGAGGAATGGGCCCCTCGGTGTGGCCGAAACCAGCTGCACGCAGCAGATTTCGTACCCCCCCCCCTTCCCTGTGCCCCTATCCCCTTTCGTGGCTTTTCGCCACAGGATCAAGGATGCTCCTCGATGGTCCTCGCCGAAGGAAACATGCACACGTCCGAGCGATGCCGAGTAGACTTGAGACTTACCCGCCCTGTCTATCATGTATTACTTCATTTGGTGGGGCTTGATGGCCCCCAGATTTTGTTTTCAGAGTTGGTAGTTCGATGGGATGAACACGCCGCTTCTCTATTTCGAGTTGGGGGTCTGATGGGTAGGCCAACGCCCCCAACAAAAGTTGATCACGAGCGGGCCTCTAGTCTACTCAGTAGACTAGAGGCCCGCTCGCCCAGCAAAGGCCTCCCCCTCGCCCGGCGACCCGGCGGCGCCCTGGCGGCCAGCCGCCGCCGGACTGCCCTCCTCCTGCGCGCCGCTCGGCCCCCGCCCGCAGGCCGCTTGGCTCAGAGGCGTCACGCCCGCACGGCAAGAGGCCCTGGCCTTAGGTCGGGCCTGTCGCCCTCTGCAGGGGGATCTTCGGCGAAAACCTAAGAGTATTTGAAAAACACCCCCCAGAGATGGTCCACGAATATTCTAAAAGTCGTCCCCAGACTACTTTTTTAACTACTTTGTGGGATATTCCTCCTGTAGAGGGACAGGCCCGACTTAGCCCCCCAGAGATCCGATGTCGTGATTTTTTTCTATGCGGGGTCCCTGGAAGTCTCGACCCATTCCCCAGGACCGGTTTTTCATCCTGAGTCGTTGTTTGACGGTCCTGAGGCCCGGCGAGGGCCCCTAGAAGCCGAAAACGGCGAAAAACCTCCGTCTTGATCTTTTCAATACGTTGGATCTCTGGGCCTGGCCATGAGACCCTGGCGACTCCCTTTCTGCTCGAGCCGGGCGCTCTCGGCCAACTTCGGGCCCCGGGGGCCCTCACAGATCGACCCGGCCCGAAGCAGGGCGCCGCAAGCTGGGGGGGTCTTTAGGGCTCAGGTAATGCGGGATGGCGATTAATAAAACAAATGGGATAGAACGATTAGAAAAATAGTCTTCTGCTATCTCTGCACAACTTTCTGACTGGAGGAGAACGATTAAAAAATAGTTTTCCAGCCCGCGGCCGGTTTTGTCTAATCGTCATCCCGGGCGCCGCCGCGTGAACACGACCCCCGGTCATTTATTACTCGTCATCCTCCATTAGCGGTTTCCTGCGATGCTCCATTCGGGATTCGCGCCGTCGCATCCCCAGGAGGAGAAAGACCCCGATCGAGGTCGGGAAACCCACGCATCGAAAGCATCGAAACGCCGGACGTCTGGGACCAACCCCCGACCTCCGACATCTTGATCTTCTCCATGACCCAGAGATCCGATGTCGTGAAATTTCAGCACGGGGGCCCCAGGAGTCCCCCGGGGCTGGCTTTTCATCCTGAGTCGTTCTTGTTGACCGTCCCGGGGCCCGGCGAGGGCCGCTGTAGTCGGCGGTTGACAAACCTCCCTTTAGTAGACCTCCCCTTAATGAAAACGGCCTGGGGCCGAAATCAACGGACCTGGACCCGCAAAAATGACGGCCGCGACGCCCTCTCGCGAACCGAAAACGGCCAATTCCTTCATCGACGTGTCAGGGTAGGAGGTCTGTCCACCTCCGATATAGAGGGCAACAACTTGGAAAAACCTTCGCCTCGATGTTGTTCCGTGCGTTGGATCTCTGGGGACTGGTCTGGGCCTCGCCATCGCTCGGACGTCCACTCCCTGTGCTTGTTTGTTTGGTTTCGTGCGTGGTGGCTTTTCGCCAAATGATCAAAGATGCTCCTCGATGGCCCTCGCCGAAGGAAACACGCTCGGGAGCGGCAAAGAGGGGGGCGTCAAAGAAGGGGGGGTGCAAATCATGACCGGCGGCATGTGCGCGGCCCAGCGGGGGGGCCAGGGACGTAATGAAATAAGAAGAGGCGCCATGAAATCTGGGGAAATATCATGGCCCGCGCCATGATATCCACCCCCCCCTAGTCATCACCCCCCTCTTTTCCGCCCCCGACATGCACACGCCCGAGCGATGCCAACCGGGCCATCTTCTGCGCGGCCTCCTCCCTCCCCGGCCGCGCCGCTCTGCGGCTCTCCCCGGGGGGCGCTGGGGGAGCGAAGCGGCGACGCCCCCAGAGATCCGACGCCAGGAGTTGTTCAATACTGACCAGCCTCGAACGTATCCCTATCCCCAAGATGGGCGAGCAAAAAGCGAGGACAATATTAGGGATAGGACCTCATAAACTCAGGGAACCCTTAAGATCGGCATCGAGGTGAGGTGATGTCAAACAAAGGGATAGGGATATGTTTCAAACTGGTAAAATACGGGGTCCCTGGCAGTCTCGACACTCTCCCCGGGAGCGGCTCTTCAGCCCGAGTCGTTCCTTGACGGCCCCCAGGCCCGGCGAGGGCGCCTACAGAAGCCAAAGACCGCAGAAAACCTCCGTCTTGATTCTTCCGATGCGTTGGCAATCTTTGGGCCCGGACATCCGACGGCGTGCCTTCTTCAGGGCGCGGCCCCGAGGAGGAGCTCCGGGGCTCCGTCCCCCAGGGGGGAGGAGGCCTTCCGCCCCAGGCGCATGTTCGGCGGCCTCGGAGGCCCGAGCACGGCCCCCGGGTGCCGAAAGACCGGAGGCCCAGAAGTGGGCACCAGCACCAACTACTGCGGGATGGCGATTAATAAAACAATGGGAGAGAACGATTCGAAAAACAAAGTCTGCAATTTCGGCACAATGTTCTGACTGGGAGAAAACGATTTAGATAATAGTTTTCCAGCCCGCGGCCGGTTTTTTCTAATCGTCATCCCGGGCGCCGCAGCGTGAACACGACCCCCGATCATTTATTAATCGTCATCCTCCATTACAAGGGGGTGCCTCCACATGGGGAGGATGATCCTAGATCTCGGTGCTGGTGGCAATATTCCGGTCGGCCTGGAAGCCAGAAGAGTACCACCATCACCGAGATCGGGATCTTCTGCCCTCGGTAGATGCACACCGCCGATATTGGTGTCGGTATCAAACTCTAGGCCTGCAAGAAAAAGAAAAGGAATGGCCAAGATTGGAAAAGGCACGTGTCGCGCGATCGACCCAAGTCGGAATGGGAAACCGCATCGAGTCGGCATTGGGAATTTGCGCCAAATCGCGCCGCAAGGGTATGGAGTCGAAATCAACGTGGTTCGGCCGAGCCAGGATGCACAACAACACCATGCGAACATCAGGCCGCATCGGAGCGTCAGAATATCTCGGCGGCGAGCAAGGAAAGGAAAAGAGAAGGAGAAGGCCTTCTCAGAAGGTTCGGAAGTCCCCCGGCCTTCTGAGAAGTTGTATAAGCTTCCTCGAAGACCGAACAACTTCTTCAGAAGTCGCGAGGGCTTCTGAGAAGTCCCGCCGCCTTCTGAGAAGGCCTTCTCCTTCTCATTCCCCCCCCGCTCGCCGCCGAGTATCGGAAACGAATCGCATCACGCCAGCTGATCTATATCGAAAGACCGATCGGATCGAAATGTTCCCTGCCAGGAGATTTCTCTGGTCTCTGGCGGCCTTCGGGACGATCCAGGCAGCCCCAGGGCGCTCTCGGCGAGGCGCCGTTGCTGACACGCATCCCGAGGCTAGAAGACTCCCACAACCGACGAAAACCTCCAAAACGAAAACGAAAACGACGACGACGACGACGACATCATCAGAGATCTGGGGAGGCGGGCTCTGTCTCATGGGACGGCAGTGGACTTGGGGGGGGGGGTGAAGAAAGGCCCACCTTTCGTGCACCTTCGGTGCCAAAAGGGGGGCGGAGGGGGGAGAAAGGTCCACCCCTCGTCCACCTCCGGTGCGAGAGGGAAAGCCGACTTGGAGGCCCGGTCCCGGGCCCCCGACGTCGCTGCTTTTTTCCCCGGCTTGGCTTGAGTCGGGCCTGTCCCCCTACAGGGGCATTTTCGACGAAAAATGCAAAGTACCCCCAAAATGGCCAAAGCATAATCAAAAACTAGTCTGGGGACAATTTGTTTCATTACTTTTTGGCCATGTGGGTGGCATTTTAGTGTATGTTTCATCCTTCCTCGAAACTCCCCGCGTAGGGGGACAGGCCCGACTTAAGGCTTGGCCCCCCCCCCCCCGAGGTGCGGGCCCCTGCTCCAGGAGCCGGCGCTCCGCCCCGATCGCCGCTCCCGGCAGCCCCGGGGCTGTGAGGGGCCGAGGAGTGTCCAGCAAGAGCTCCCCGTCGCTGCTTTTTCGGGGATGGGAAGGAGGAGGAGGAGGAGGAGGAGGGAGAGGAGGAGGAGGAGGAGGAGGAGGAGGAGGAGGGGTGCGCGATGTGGGAGGAGGTCCGCGGGCGTTTGAATAATAGCAAGAATCCCATCCTTGGAGATGGCGCAAAAGGGGCGCCGACCCCGCCCAGGAGTTCTGGACAAGCCTGTAAGGCCCCCGCCCCTGTCGGGGCACGGCCGATGTGGCCTCCTGGGATGCCACATCGGCTTAAGCGCTCCTGTCTGCTCGGGGTCCAGAGTGCGGGTATCTCTCAGTTGGAAGCTTCTCTTGTCACGGAGCGCCAGCGTAACAAGCTCGACTCGGTTATCGTTCGGCACCGTCGTGCCGCGATGCATGGAGCCAGCTTCGAAGGGGCACGGCGCACACAAAGCCTGTCGAGCGCGAAGCTGCTTGAGCACTGGCGCATGGCCCCCTCTTTCTCGGGGATGGACAGACCTCCCTTTAGTAAAACGTGGCTTAGTGAAAACGACCTGAGGCCCAGACCTGGCGGGCGCAGGCCTGGAAAATAACGGCCACGGCGCCCTCTCGAGAACCGAAAACGGACAATTCACTAATCGACGTGTCACTGTTGGGGGTTCTGTCCACCTCCGATTCTTGGTTGACCACCTCCCAGACCATACGAACCCAACCCAACGACCCGAATTTCGGGTTGGGGGGGGGGGGGTACGGGGTTCATACGTTGGTGTTTTGGTCACCGTTCCCCGACACCCCCCTCCCCACTGGAAGTGGAGGGCAACTCGGGGCCTTCGGGTTGGGTTGGGGTGGTTTGCTGGGCGGTGGTTTGTCGCGACGGGAGGGGGCCTGGGATTCCTGCCCTCCTCGATCCCTCCCCATTGACGAAGCGTATCTCAGACTGCGAGACGCCCGTGGGGTGAGCCCTGGCTTTGAATCCGCCGTACTTTCCGCCGCAGAAAAGGTGAGGCGTATACTTCCGCAAAGGTAATGGAACCAGCGATGGCAAGGTAGGGCGGACATCGGCATCAAAGGAGCTTGACATGTACGGTGGGGGCGTTCGTCAAGGAATGTGCCCAGGAGGCATCAAGCCCTGGATGATTCCTTATCTGTGCAATGAGGGCGGCAGTGGTACCGATGGCCAAGTCACGACTAGAGTTCCCCCCGCTTCAGGACCCTGGTTCATCCCATGGTTCCTTGTCA